CTCTAGAAGAGGTAAGTGATCACAAAAAGCCATTTAAGCCTCATTTTTTGAGTTGGGGTGTTTATAGTTAAATCTAACCAACCTTTCTAATAATTATCTTCGAAAGTAAAATTATTATTAACTAAAGTATACTTTGTACATAATATTACAAAGAAGATTTAAAAATACTGAAAGACTAAAACCGTGACAGTTATTCACCAATAAGTTAAGGCAATATATTAGGAAATTAAGCATGTGTGTTGATTCTAATAATTTATGTTTTTTATTGCAAAAGCAAGCCATCAGATTCATTGAAAGATCCATAAAATCTCATTACAAAAAATGAGAAACAGGAAAATTAACCATGCTATGCAAATTGCAAACTTAGAAATTAAGATTAGGTTTACTAATGATCCTTATGCCACACTGAAGAAAGTTTTTCTTTTAATAAAAATAAAATGTCATGAGCTTGTGTCCAATGAAACACTGGTTAAGTGAGTTAAAGGATTAAAAAAAATACTATACTATTCTACCACCCTTAATTAAAAAAGAAAAGTATAAAAGAAAAAAAAATATTTTGAAAATTGACTTCCAAACCGAAGACTTTCGAGCAGCTTTACAATTTCAGGTGGGAAATCTCAGTCAATTGGTACTAAAAAATGGAGAGCACGAGAGGGACGGCAAGGGGTGCGGCAACAGGGAACGACGGTGAATACAGACAGCGGCAAGGACACAGGAACAGGGCTGCAAGCTTTGGGTCGCAGTTTTCCGGCTGGTTGACGACATTTTTCTTTTATAATTTTACGGAGGAGCTGGAGGCAAAATTTCTATGGAATTGCTTTCAAATGTATGGCAAGGTGGTAGATGTGTATGTCCCGAGCAAACGAGATAAGCGAGGGAAGAGGTTTGGGTTTGTGCAGATGGCAGGGGTTAAGAACGAGCTTCAAATGGAGAGGCAGCTAAACACGATGTGGATTGGCTCGTATAAGATGAAAGTGAAGATTGCAGAGGACAGGCAAAGAAAACCAGCACAGTCCAGGAAGCTACAAGGAGCAGTAAAGGAATATGGATCAACGAGTAAAATGAATAGATTAGTCCAACCAGGGCAATCATATGCACAAGTTGTGAAGGGAAAGGGAAAGAAGGTTGAGAAGGCACAAATACAACCTCAGGACAAGGACGAGGATAAGGACGAGGTTAACAAAAGGGCTGAAGAGAATATGGTAGTGGAATATACTCCTACGGGTGAGGAGTTGCAATGGTTAGAGGGCGGCATGGTGGCAGTGGTGAGATCGCTGGGTTTGATATCAGAGATTCAAGAACATATTGGCATAGACGGAGGCTCAATATCGTTAACACCAATAGGGGGAAGACGGGTGTTATTAACTGAAAGAGCTGTAGGATATTTATCTGAGTATAAGAAGATTAATGAAGAATTGTTTGATTTGTGGTTTGAATCCATAAAATCATGGGAGACGACACCAGAGGAGACAAGTAGAATGGTTTGGCTGCGTATATTGGTAGTGCCATTAAAGGCATGGGGTGAGAGGTGTTTTTAGAAGATAGGTGAGACAATCGGAGAAGTTCTAATGATCCATGAGGACACAAAGAATAAATCAATCTTATGGGATGGGAGAATATTGATTTTATGCACAGAGTCTAGGAGAATTGCAAAAAGAATCAAATTGAAAGTAGGAGATCAGCTGTATGAAATTGAGATAGCAGAGGAGGAGTGGCGGTCGGATCCGGACTGGTGGTTGACGGAGAATGATCAGAATAATGTTCAGATAATGGAGTCCGATGATTTCTCGGTAGCGTGGAGTCAGAACGAAGACTCGGAAATGGGTGTGGATGTGATTTGTGATGGCGATGATGTGAGGTCTGATTCAGAGCATTTAATGAAAGACTTGGATTTAAATTCGAATTCGGTGATTGCAACGGGAAAGGAAAGATGGAAACAAAGTGAAACAGAGAGGGAGTTTGAAGGGGATGAAAGATATGGGCAAGTTAAGGAACATGGGCTCCAAAGTTTGAGTTCTGTTGGGCCTGAAATAAGGAGTGGGCCGGATAAAAACAACAACCATGGACAGACAAAATAAATGAGCATAAAAGGGCCTAAATTAATCACCCAAAACCCGGAAGCTGCATCAGAATCGCAGAAAATAGAAAACAGAGCTTCAAAGAGCAAAAAGCAACGACTTATCCAATATTGTTACCCAGAAAGCATGGAGGAGATCTGGGCGAAGAGGACTCCGCTGGTAACACCCAGAACAAGTCAGAGACGGACACGAAGGCTGGGTGACCGAAAAGCAAGGGAAGACAAGGAACGCTTAGAGGGTAGTATGTCTATTTCGGATGGGGATATTGTAAATAGAAATAGGGTGCTTCAAAGGGAGATGAATTTGTATGAGGTGTGCCGGATGATGAGGGTGGGAAAGAGGTTGGGTATCCAATTTGAAGATGATGATGAGGAATTACAATATAGGTTGATAGAGGCAGAGGATCAAGAAAGGGCAGGGATGAGAGACGGGTTGGGGGTATAGGAGAGGGTGTGAGGGGTGAAGTTGTGCGTTTATCTTTGATTAAATGAAGATTATTTCCTTTAATGTGAGGGGTTTGGGGGGGACGGTGAAGAGGAAGGAAGTGGGTAAGCTGGTAAGAGAGGAAAGGCCGGACTTTCTATTCTTGCAGGAAACAAAATTAGAGAGGATAGATGTGGGAATTTGTAAACTTTTGTGGAACTCTGATGAGTTCGAATGGGTTGCGAAGGCCTCATCTGGAGCATCAGGGGGTCTGCTATGTCTATGGGACAGACGGCATTTTGTTAAGAGGGAAGAATTTACAGGTGACGGGTATGTGGGAATATCAGGGGAATGGGGAGTAAATAAACAAGAGTGCAGCCTAATAAATGTGTATGGCCCAAATGATAGACAAAAGAGGGCTAAGATGTGGGAGGAGCTGAGGAAGAGGGTGATTGACAAGGAAGGGCGGTGGTTGATTGCAGGGGATTTTAATGCTGTTAGAGGCCCGGAGGAGAAGCGAGGGAAAACAGGGGTGAGTTCAGATATGAGGGATTTTGAGGAGTTCATTGTGACAACAGGAATAGTGGATGTTAAATTGACAAATAGACACTATACATGGTATAAGCCAGATGGAACAGCAAGGAGCAGACTGGACAGATTCTGGTTGAGTACTGAGATGAATAATATGGGAGGAGAATGGATTCAGCAGGGGCTGCCAAGGAACATTTCTGATCATTGTGCAATGGTTTTGAAGTCCAAATCAACAGATTGGGGACCAAGGCCTTTTAGAGTCTTAGATGCTTGGCAACAACATCCAGAATTCAAGAAGGCTGTAGAAGATAAGTGGAGAGAGATGGCAGTGGAGGGGTTCGCAGGGTATAAATGCAAACAAAAGTTAAAAATGTTAAAAGAGTTCTTAAAAGGATGGAACAAGGAAGTATTTGGAAACATGGAAGCCCAGTATGTGCAGGCTGTTAAAAAAATAGAGCAGTTCGATATGCAGAACGAAGTAGCTGACCTGGAAGAACTTGAAATTGTTAAAAGGCAGGAAGGCTTCTCTGAGATATGGGATGTTTTGAGAAAAAGGGAACTAATCTGGAAGCAGAAGTCAAGGAGTAGGTGGATACAAGAGGGTGATGCGAATACCCGTTTCTTCCATAAGGTGGCTAACGGGAGAAGGGCACAAAATAATATTGCAGGCTTAATGAGTGATGGGGAGTGGATTGAAGATCCAGAAGCAGTCAAAAATGAAATGTTCAAATATTTCAGAAGTGTGTTCCAAGGTGACCCATGGAATAGACCCAAGCCCAGCGGTATTAAATTTCAAAAGATTTCAGAGGAGAAAAAAGAATGGCTAGAAAGACCTTTTTCGGTTGAAGAAATTGAGGAAGGTTTAAGGAGCTGTGATGGTTCAAAGGCTCTGGGACCGAATGGGTACAACTTCAATTTTATTAAATTTACGTGGCATTGCATAAAGGAGGATTTCATCAGTTTTTTCTCGGAGTTTCATCGGAATGGTAAACTGGTGAGGGGTCTAAATTCTTCTTTTTTAGCTTTGGTCCCTAAAAAATTGAATGCTGCGAATTTAAAGGAGTATAGACCCATTAGCTTGCTTGGATGTGTTTATAAATTATTAGCGAAGGTATTGGCTAATAGATTGAAATCGGTGATGTAAGAAATAGTGAGTGAAACTCAATCTGCTTTTGTGGGGGGTCGCCAATTGGTTGATAGTGTATTGGCGCTGAATGAAGTAGTATATGAGATAAAGAACAAGAAACAGCCAGCTTTTGTCTTTAAGGCAGATTTTGAAAAGGCATATGACTGCGTGGATTGGTCCTTTTTATACTGGATGATGGATAGTTTTGGGTTTGGAATAAAGTGGAGAGGATGGATTATGGAGTGCCTTTCAACGGCGAGAACTTCGATTTTGGTGAATGGAAGCCCGACAAGGGAATTTGAGGTAGGTAAAGGACTACGTCAAGGGGATCCTTTATCTCCCTTTCTTTTTTTGATGATCGGTGAGGGGTTACAAGATTTGGTACAGAAAGCAATGGCGGAGGGAATGGTACACGGGATCGTGATTGGAAAGAAAGGGATGACTGTGTCCTTACTTCAGTTCGTCGATGATACAATAATTATGGGCAGAGCGGATGCTGAGAATATACGAATGGTGAAGGATGTGCTAAGATGGTTTGAACTCATGTTTGGATTGCGGATAAATTTTAAAAAGAGCAGTATCTATGGTTATAATGTGTCGGAGGGATGGTTAAAGGGATCAGCGGGGATGTTACGATGTGGAGTAGGTTGAGCACCCTTTCTTTATTTGGGATTACCTATTGGCGGTAAATCTGGAAGTAAGAAGGTGTGGGAGCCGATGGTGAATAAATTTCGCGCAAAGCTTGCTTCCTGGAAGCCTTCTACTCTTTCCTTTGGAGGCCGCCTCACCCTGTTGAACTCGGTACTCTCTGCATTACCTATTTTTTATATGTCTCTGTTTCTTTTACCAAAGTCTGTTCTTGCGGAGTTGATTAGTATTCAAAGGAGATTTCTATGGGGTGGGCCAGGTTTAAATAAAAAGATTTCATGGATGAAATGGGAATATGTTTGTCGTGATAAGATGAAGGGGGGTTTAGGGGTACCAGATCTGCTTAGGAAAAATAGGGCATTGTTAGGAAAGTGGTGGTATAGGTTAGGGGATGGGGTTGAGAACTTATGGAAAAGGGTGGTGAGGGAAAAATATTATGGAGGTAGGAGCGAGGTTGATATTACAGCGGTTGAGGGTTCGAGGGTGTCAAAGCTGTGGAGGGATATTATTAGAATGGGGGGTCAATCTTCAAGACTTAGGAATATGCTGGTGGAGGGCTTCAAGTGGGAAGTGGAGGAGGGAAATAAGGAGGATTTTTGGCAAGAGCGGTGGGTTGGAGATAAAACTCTTAGGGACTTATGTCCAAGATTATATGCACTATCGGTTAAGAAGGAAGGAAAGGTTTCTGAAATGGGAAGCTGGAATGAGGGAAGATGGTGTTGGCATGTTGTGTGGAGGAGAGGTACTATAGGGCGTGAGAAGGATGAAGAGGTGGTGCTGGAGAAGACGCTGGAAGGTGTTCAAGTGAAGGAGGGGATTGGGGATGTTTGGAAGTGGAGGCATGTGATGGATGGCAGATATGTTGTAAAGATAGCCTACGACTATTTAGATTGTATGGAAGGTGTACTGGAGGACTAGATGTGTAAATTAATATGGTGCAGGTTGGTGCCATCCAAAGTTGCCTTTTTTGGGTGGCGACTGTGCTTAAATAGGCTTCCAACAAAGGAAAATCTTCAAAAGCGTGGAGTGCAACTGCAGGAGGAAGGTATTTACTGTGAATTTTGTAGTGGGATAGTGGAGGAGACTAATCACTTATTTTGTATATGTTATAAAGCGTGGATAGTGTGGGTAGAGGTGTTGAATTGGTGGGGTTTGGAGAGTGTTTTGCCTAATATAGTTGTGGGAGTGGCAGATTTCTTCATAAATGAGTTGGGCAGAACAGTAGGAAAGGAGATGGGCTTTTGTATTTTTCTGGCAGTTGCTTGGTATGTATGGTATAGAAGGAATACTCAGGTATTTTGAGAAGATGAAGGAATCTCAGAGAAAATGCTGGAAAGGGTGCAAGTAAAAACCTTTGTATGGTTAAAGGCTAAAGTGAAGGGATGCGTTTTTTCCTTTTATGAATGGCAAGATAGTCCGATGGAATGTGCAAAGGCTGTCAAATGGCATAAATGGATGAGGAAGCAATCCTCTAAGGCTGAAGTGGCCCCTAGCTAATGGGGGGAGGTTCACAATCTGCTCTTTTCATCTGTTGTATGGGTTCTAAAGGACAAGGTGTTGATTGGGTTTGTAGGCTGTCATAAGTTGTAGGAAAGGCTTAGTTTTTTTCCTTTTCCTGTAGAGTTTCGGATGGCTATCCTGAGCTTTTGTGTTTTTGATTGATGTAGGTTAATTGGGTTGTGTATCTTGATTTCACCGGACTGTATTTTGTTTTGGGAGTATTTCTTATGCTCCTTCTCTAATATATATCGTAAGTTGCTTTGCTGATAAAAAATAAATAAATAAAAGAAAAAAAAATCAAATTTCTTTTATCTTATACAACTATCATAAAGCAATACCATATATGACAACAATGAATATATGATATGCAAAAGTAATATGCCCTTGATTGCAAAATAGATTTTCAAACTGTCATTGCGATGGCCAAAATTTGACTTAAGAAAGATCCAATTGCTCAAAGTTTTAGAGAACAAAAAATGAATAAAATCAATTTGTATAAATTTACCACTCATAAGAAGGTGAAAGTAGCAGTATGATGGCACATCGATTATCACTGCCTCCAAATCTCACTCGAACTAATCCAAAGGCTATTAGTAATATGTTTTCAAAACAGCAAAAATAAAAAAATCAATAACTTGAGTGACTCCCAAAAAACCTTAAGTTACTATTGAGTATGTAAAGATATAGAAAAATGATGTGTGCACACCTGAATTCCACACCCGGGTGTGCACACCCCCATAAAAAAAAAAAAAAAAAAAAGATCCAGATGCATACCATTTTTTTTTTTTTTATGTGAGGGGTGTACACTCGGGTGTGGGATCCGGGTGTGCACCAATCATGATCCAAAGATATAACTAGAAAAAGCGAACTAGAGGGGGATTAACCCTTTATGAAAAACCCTCACGAAAACTCATCAACCTTTCAACCTTTCTGCTCTTGTCAAAAATCTCCCCAGTCATATCCACCTCCCTGGTAAGGCTTTTGTACTTACCAATCACATCCCAAAACTGTGAGTGACCACTATTACCAGCCTCCATTGTTGTCTCACCCAACACCAGTGCTTGCCTCTTCGCCATGGATGACCTCAATCGACTCTCCGTAGCCTCCCCGAAATCAACAAGCAAAAGAAAAGAATAAAGAGCAGCAATTAAGGACCCAAGTCCCAACCCCTCAAATGTGTGAAAAGGAAAGGTTTCGAGCCCCTCAAGAGATTTCGATGGCCCACTCTCAAAACAAGAGAATGAAACCCTAACACGAGGGATTAAAATAAAAAAAGATATAGGATTAAAGAAATTTAATAGAGGAAAAAAGGGAACAAATCAATGAAAAGAAAAAGAGAGAAGAGAAAAGGAGGAGAAAAAAAATGCAACAGTAGACTCCCAAGAATCATTCATATTAGTAAGAATAAACACTATCTTTTTTAGCCAGTAGGAATGAAAAAAACAGAGAGAGAGAACATTGTTAGTTCTTTTTGCAAAATAAAACAACAAATATATGCAAAGGGGTAAAGTGAGTCGAGAATTAGTTTAGGACCAATCTTAAAAATATTGAGACATCAATACAGCTTAATAACTGACACGTCAAAACATGAGATACAGTGATTTTTGATACAAAACTTTTCTACTCTATTTGAGCAGAGCAATTTTAACATTAAATTTCTCCCTTAATTGTCATCACCAAATAGCAGCCTGCTTGTATCCTTCTCCAAGATCTTGGTTTCGGAGCTCAAATGACCTACAGTAATGCTACATGTAGTATCACTCATTGATTGTTGAGATTTTGCCGCGTTCCTACTTGAAACACTAAAGAGCTCATCGTCGGTGGTGGTCACTCTAGGGTGGTCACTCTAGGGATGTTCATATCCGATTCAATCCAATTGATTTGATCTAAGCTGATCCAATTTAATAAAAAATCGATCTAAACCAATATAAAATTGGGTTGGTTTAAATTATAAAATTTTAAAACTGATATAATTGGTTTGATTTGTGATTTTATCTTCAAATCACTTAAATTGTCTGATTACAAAATAAAATTCGATTAGAAGATAACTTAATTTAATAATATAATATAATTTTTTGTAATATTTTAAAATTTCTTTTTTTTAAAAAAAAAATTTACAAGATAATAACTTCATTAATTTAATTAAAAAATAAAAATAAAATATCTCCATATTCTTTAAGTTATATTTCCATTTTAATCATGCACCCTAATCCTAATTCTAAATTTCTAATTTACCTGCAACTTTATCTCCTGAAAATTGATTTGTGCCTTTATTCTTAAAATCTTAAATTTCTAATTTGTTTCTAAAATAACATTATGATTCTCCTAACTAAATTTTTTAAAAAAATATTATTTTAAAAGTCTTAAAACCATATAATAAATCTAGTCTTGATATTCTACTATTATTGGATATTTGGTTTAGAAGTTTTAAATTTTGATTATAAATGCTTCTAATCAATTTTAGTAATATTTATGCTAAATTTTATTTGCTTTTAACATGATTTAGAAAATGTGATTAAATTATTAGTGCATTAAGAAAAAAAAAACTAATTTTAACATTTAAAAATTATTTACACTGTGCTAAAAACTTAAAGTCATTTTTTATTGTTCTTGGTACTTCTAGTGATGTAACTAAAAGGAACTTTCAGATTTTTTCAATTTTTACAAATGTAAAGGAGTATAAAAATATATTTATAATTTATACATTTTGTTATGTTTTTACTAATTTGGAAGTTAATGTGTTTTATATTTATGTTTTTTATTTGATATTAAAATATTTTTATACTATCTCATATATATAATAATGTTAAAAACTGATCAATTCAACTAATCGACAACAATCCAATTTAAGTTGGATTAATTTAATTAT